TTCACTGTAAAAAAACTCAACATGGTGTTCTCACAAGCTTAAATAGTAGGTCTATGTATACTACATTAAAAATAAATCATTGTTTTTATGCAAAGAAAAGTTTTAAATTAATTTTCTAGGTGTGATTCCCGTATCTAAAAAAATAAACTATTCATAGAATTGTCAAAACTTTTTTTCAAATCGAAACTGATGAAAACCAACCAAACGAAGGCCTACAATAGATACACAATTTGAGCGAAAACACCATATTGAGTCTTATTTACAATTAATTTCCAATAACACTAAATCTCAAAACATGTATGCAACAATGCATATTAGCTGATCGGCAATGACGTAAAGAAAACAGGGATACCAACAAATGAGCTTGTTTTGTCGTTAAAATGCGTCTTTTGGTACATGTAATTTGGGTTGCGTAAAAAAAACACACCCAGTATAATGTTTCTGTTAAGGTTCAGAAAAAAGTACTTTACCTCCCAAAAGAACACATCGTGAATTGAGAGACTGAGAGACCACCTAGATCTTTACGATTGGATCATAAAGTTTATTATATACAATATAAATTTTCTACTCTAAATTTTAAACATGTCTTGGGTTTCAACCAGGAAAATATAGTTTTCTCCCGGGTAAAGTATGAGCACGTATATTTACTGAGTTGAGCTTTTAGTTGGCTATGTACTTTGGCGCGCCGCTGAAATGAGATTTCGTTGTAAGTGTGATGTCATTGCCAATGTTTGACCGGGTACAGTGTGTTGCCTTCCGGTGTGAGAAGTGACTGGAATACTGAGTTGTTGGTCAAAGGACGGCCGCGCGATGCCAGGATGTGCCTATGTGGGAAACATTGGTAAGAGGTCCTGGAAACAGGATAAAGGACCTCCCGGACCACTCGGACAAGGAATGATCAGGAAATACTTCCTTATGTGAGGACTGTAAGTTTTCATAGTAGGGTACGCTGTTTGTGAAATATTATATTTGTTGATGAATATTCATAAGTTTCAACTAGAAGACAAAGGGAGGCTGCTGAAGAAAATGTTGGGACCACTGGGGTTGAGGGAACCATTGATATTGTAGGATGTTGAAAAGTAGGCAGTGGCAATTCATTACCTTTTTCATTATGAGTAGCGAGATGAGATGGATTACAAGTAACACAACTAAATCAGTTCTCACAGCTTACTGATCTAGAAGAAAACCCAGAAGTTGGTGCATGGATAAGTAGAATTACCACGTACTCTTTTTTGACGGTCCCAAAGGCAGGTCTGTAGCACCATACTCCCTTCACCACAGAAACGTTATAGGTGTTTAGCAAAAAATCAAGGCCGCTGGCAAAAATAAACACCAAAGTTTTTCTCTTAATGGTGTTTATTGGTACAGAGCTAGGAAGCTCTGTAGGATATGTCTAGCGTCATAAAGATTTAACCAAAATATTTTAAAGTTAATAAGTCTCAAATATTTTTTATGGGTTTCTAGGAATAATTTTATATATCATTTCGCTTTAACGGTTTTTAAAAACCTTAATTACGTTGATCATATAATAATACGTGAAATTAACGGTATAATCACAGTTGAATTGATAACAAATCCAATATAATTCAAACTATTGTCAATTTTTATAACTTCTAAAGTTGATTAAAAACATAAATCGAAAGAGATGAAATCTGCATTTTAAATAAACCCGGTCTGGAACACTGCAATTCCAGGGAAACTAGGACAAGTAGAATTGCTCGCTTCTGAATGGTGTAGTATTTCTGAAACCCATCGTATTGTGAAATAACAATTGGACGAAGGTTCTATTTCTCTATCTTTGCTAAAGTATAAATTGCAGTACAACCGAAGTATGAGTTTTCAGACATGAATTGCGGTATTTAATTCTGCATTAATTTGCCATCAGCTTAAAGATATTGTACTTGAATTTAAAATGACGTAAGCTCCTTAAGATAATTTACGTGTCAGAAATTCAACTCAAAACAATTTGTGCCGCATCAAAAATCGTGAACAGCATGATTATAGTATGTTGCAGAACATAAAGTGTTGTACTTTGTAGTCTTGGGTTTGATATTACATGTTTCAATAAATATGTTATACCTTTTCCACTAATTGTAAAACGCCTAGTCTAAATAACGTTTCAGTATCTGGAATTTGATACCCTTTACGTGGGATGGAGTTTGTAGTAATCTAGCCATGTTTAGCTCCCTTTTCCACCCGAATGCGAGATAATATCCTGGATAACGTCATAACATTTGTGTTTTACTAATCGGTAATTTTAAGTAAATATATATACGTATATTAACGCTTGAAACATTAGTTTAGACTAAATGTTAACTCCCAAGCCGGTAAATATAAAAGATGGTTGGTTAGTGGTGGTCGATTTCGATGTGGACACTCCATGCATCATCAAACCCAATATGTGAATGACATGTTCAGTGCTGTCCAAGAAGTTATTTTACCAGTCGGTTATGGAAAATTTATGAAATAATCATTCAAGTCAAACAATTGTCAACAAAAACTTTTAAACAAAGGATATTTTTGTAATTTTTTTTAGAATAGGTCCCTAACCTTTATTTTTATACCTACTGCAGGCACTGATTGAAATCTAAAATATTTTGAGGAAATATACAAGTAAAAATATAAGGAAAATATACCTGTATTTTTATATCAATTATCAAGAACTCGGTTCCAGTAGTTGCCTGGTTTTATAGAAAGGTATGCACGAACCTTACTCTAATCTAACATCCAATACACAATGTGTAAATATCAGGTTTAAGCCTGGTTTAACCTCAAGATTTACAATGGATAAATTATAGTAGGATATACTTGGTAGTAGCTTATATAATAATGTGTGGATTTGAACAACAGTCTATTGATTCGGCCACGCCATCACAATCTCTTATAATTTTATTTTAATAAAACCTTCAGTGCTGCGTCGCCAAAATCTTTGATTTCCCATTACTGGCAAATCGAATTCCACCGGTTTCCCATCCCTATTCTCGACTCACCGAACCTTTTATTGTTGTCCCCTTCCTGAGATTCCTAATTTGAAAATGGGCCCTCTAGGGTCGTTTCCCAATTTGCATCACAATCTTAGGATCAAACAAATCTCAATACAAGAATGCAATTTAGGATTTGTATTGAGAGGGATGATCTTTGAGTTTGCAATGATGTTTGAACTGACGATTGTATTTTGCATGCATCAAAGATTTTTCCGTTTCTACTCAAAACACAAGAGCAGCTCGAAAATTAAAAAAATAATACAAAAAATCTAAATACACGGATAACTAACTGAAATTTTTTGATCTTACTTATATTTTTTTTTGGGGGGGGGGTTAAAAAAACCATTGTTATAGCCGAACTTGTAGATCAGGCTGGACCATATGTGTATGTGTAACGTAAAAAAAGTGTTAAAAAACTTATTAAGTTGTAAACCCCCCTTTTTTCGATTAGGGAACCCCCTTTTACGCTGTAATCACACCTATAACCCAAGAGGTGTAAGCTACAATATTGTTGACTAGCCTAATATAAATACATCCTTTATCATAGTGTAGTTTCCAAATGGTCCGAAGATAGAATTAAACCAACTGGAACTGGGCTCAAAAGACAGAGCTGGTGAGATTACTGTTGAACCCCTTCCCCCCCCCCCCCCCCCACGACCGCTTATCAATGACTGATAACATCTGTCGACCTCCCACATAGACCGAGGCTAAGCCTGGATTCGAACCCGTGACCAGATAACACACATTAGTGCTGCAGTGTATCCCAAAACATTGACTGTGGCAAATCTGAAATAAGCGACGTTTTCCTTGTAATTTTATGGTTTATTGTATTAGAAATACGAGCTGTTAAGTTGGTCACTAAAATTATCAGTAGTTTATGATTATGGATTAGTCATGGTATAAATTGTATAGTCTATTGAGGCATTTTTATTGGATTCCTAAAAATATGTTGCTGGTACTATTAGGTGGTGATATAATGCATTATTGATCTCTTTGGAATCGGATTATTTAATTGAAAAAGGCACATTGTTGTCTCAATCAACAATAGGTAGGAATATACACTTAGAAATTAGGCCTATATGCAATAGGTACCAATTTTCCCGTTGATATTATTATGTAGCAGCCGTCTTTGTACTGAAAAGTCAATGATGATATATAAATACCCAACAATCTTTAAAATCATGATAACTGATTTTTTTTATTAATTACTATAGCCTATTTGAAAAACGTAAATATGCTAAATAAATATCAAAATGATTTAAGCCGGTAGTATTTTCCAATTTGATTCTAGAAATTCCCAGCGAATATCCCATAGGATACAAGTATTACCATAGGTCTCATGGTAATACAACTCTATATTCTGTTGTAATAACTAGACCCAGGACCGATTTTTAAACAGTTGTAGTTTGCTTGTTTTTATGGATATACATGTAACAATTTTGTTTATTTCACACTAAGCTATTAACATTTTACTAAAAGGGCACTCTTTATTACTTTCCCTGTAGCAGCAAAACTAATGTTTTCAAATAAGAAATACATCAGACATTTTAAAGAGTGTAGGTACAATATTTTTTGTTCAAATCCAATAGGCCTAAAGGAAATGTAAATTCGCTTACCAGGTCTGCTGCACCGGGGGTACTTAATTAGTCGTAGATCAAATATTGAATCACACTTTCAATAATCTATTGTTGATAAGAGATCAATTAGGTGCACTTTAAATGCACTTTAGTGTTGGTATCTTATCTAGGTCTATTTGATTACAAAAGTTCATTACCCTTTTTAACACGCTCTATAATCCTGATAGTGCTTATTTTATGGATACTTTAATGCATTAGGAAAGGAAGTTCAAATCTAAAATATTTTACAATCAAATATTTATGTAACGTAACGTTGTACTATTAATTATCAGAAATGATTTTTGTAACAATCTTAATTTATAGTAGTTTGATTCCTTAAACACTTTACTACTTAATTCCTAACTAACTTAACCTAATTAAATAGTAAAATTCAACTCACCATTTGTTCCAGAGAGGTTTAAAATCCAAACATAAAGAAGTACACTTTTCACTGAGAGTCTAGCCATTGTACACTTACACTGAATACACTAACACTACACTCACACTAACACTTATCTACACTAACACGCAGTTCGGAACTGAACTGACTGTAGGAACTACAACGCTGCTGGAAAACATGATGCATATCTGGAAACAAAAAACAGTATTAGTTTTTAATATTGTATGTCCATGTACACATTTCAGTTTTCATGAACGCTATATATAACCTTAACAAGTCATGGGGATTATCAAATAAGACTTGTAATCAAGGTTGTCTTCTTATCGAGCAATCGAGGTTTGCAAATACATTTGATTAGTGGTTAATGATATTTGAAAATGATAGTTTTTATCGAGGGTTTACTATCGAGGTTCCACTGCACTACTTTCCATGAAAGATATTACTGTATGTTTAATTAAGAAAGCCTAGAATAATTAAGAATTGCTAAACCTTCATGTATTGTAATGTTCTTTAGGAATCAAGGATAAACTACAGAAGGATTATCTACATAATTAATACTGTAAGATTTATTTTTTATAGAATATATCAAACTACTGTAAGAGTACTAAATATTTAATATTTGGGTAGACCTTAATTATGATCCTAAAAAGTTTTATGAACGGCGTAATAACAAAATAAATGAATTGGCTAGTACAGAAAAGGTCCGTATGTAAGGCTTAATGGAGAGCTCGCTGAGATTAATAAAAGACCATTCATCTCTAAACAAGTGTATCTATTGATGAAACCTTGTAAGCACTAAATTATTTCCAAGTAATATTGATTTTTAGATTATAAAGTAACCGTTTACACTCAATCAATGAAGCATACAAATTTTATCAATAGTAACTTCATCAATGTTTCATTATTGATTTTATTTTTATTGTACATGTATACAACGTTAATAAAACAGTGGACAAAGTATCGTACTCATTAATATCAACAGAATTAACTAAATCCACATTGATTTGGAAGTTTATATAAAATCTTGTAGGTATTTAGCCTAATCATCTTGTAACAAGATAGGTTCGTACTTGTATTTTCGATTCAAATCCTAAGCTATTATCACAATAAACAACATTAAGAGACATAGAAACAAACTTAATATAAGGTAAACATTTACCTGGTACTTCTAAAAACTCCAAAATGCTTACAAACTACACATCCTAAAACTACACTAATAGAAAAATCCACAGATTGTTTGTACAAAAACTTTACAACAGTTTGTATTTTGGCGAGTCCGATGCTCTTTTCACCTTCCAACAACAACCGGAGAACGACACGACCACGGGGCGACTGACAGAGAGAAAAGGTACGCCGCGCCGACAGCCGGAGTACTTCGGACTTCGGGTGATTCCGGCACAGCCCGAACAATGCCGAAGTTGGCCGAAGTCTGTTAAATTAATCCACTGTTAGGACAACTTGTTCGGCTGATCTCTTCTTTATCAGAGATTTCCATGTGTTCAAGAGGTAATCGTCTGGAATGGGCCGGGTCGAGTTTTTGGAGGCTTGAAAGAAAGAAACTGGTCGTCAAAGATTCTGAGATGGGAAATTGTAATGTGTTTGACTCACTGGTTGAAAATTGTACTCTACGAGGTAAATTTTGAAAGATCCCAGGGGTAAAATCTGTTATACGTAGGTGCCAAAACGTTTGACGAAAAACATATGTGAAAGTTTTATTAATTTGGTCGTCCACGATAATCATTTGGATTTTTTTTAAATGTCAAATTTAAGGCATTATTATAGGTGGAATTCAATTTTATAATTGAAGTAGGATACTTCAGAAAGTTAATGTTGAAACAATACCTCTTGAGACTAGTGAGCGATGATAATTAACACTTATAATTTACTCAAATCGATTTACGTTTATACATTCATCTTGCTGAAACATAAAGATGACAGTTTTGCTGTTAAAAGACAGTAGGGAGTATAGGGACGAGATGGGCAGGACATATCATAAGGAAAGAAGACAACTCTTTACCGAAGAAAGTACTAGAGAAAACCCCAGAAGGAAGAAGACCTCTTAATGGACCGAAACTGAGATGGTGAGAAAGAGTAGAAAAAGACATAAGAAAATTGGGAAGAAGGAAGGAGGACGCAAGATGCAGAGATGTATGGCAGTGTGTTGGGGAGGGACCATGTACCATGCACCAGTGACCACAGCAGTAGGTAGTCAGTAAAAGACATACAAGAATATTTCATTGTACCTACTGTATAACAAAACCATCTTTAACGTTTGTCTTTGGTGATAGTGGATTTACGTCGTTTTTATTGGTGATTTGTCTAGCTTTAATGTATGCATCTGTCATCACTATGAAAAGAAACTTATTCTGTGATGAAACAATATTCTGTGGGCGTTTTTGAAACTCTTTCAATCTTAAATCAAATATAGGCTACTGTAAGGCGAGACGCAAATAATCTAGTTCCATATCATCTAACCTTACTTGGCTTTTGACAAACGAATCGAACTATACATAACTCTCAATTCTCTGGAAACAATTCTTAACAAGATGGTGGTGGTGAAATTTTCGAGACAGTTTTGCAACCAGCACTACAACTACTACGCAGTCTTAACACCCATAGTAACTTTCTTAGAAACGAAAAAAAACAACGAAAAGTAACAATAACACGTAATACAAACACAACTTTCACAAACCGATTCCAACCGAGCGTGACTTCAGACGACAAACGTGTCCAGAAACCATTCGGTGACAAATTTCCAACAGCGGCGGAGGTAAAAGTGATATATCGCTTCCGTCCCCCGGGACTCGCCGAAGGGGCGAAGGACGGGTGGCTTAGGTCAGTGAGGAGGCGGTCCAAGGTCCAGAGCGGCTGCCCCAAATAAATATTGTCTGACAAGGGACGGTTTTCAAACGTGGTTCGTTCTGCCCTGAAATGCGTTGAAGATTCGTTGGGGTTGTAAATTTGGGCACAGAAATAGTTGTAAATTAGAAGGGTGAAAGTTAAAGGGTATTTTTTGCAAGAATTCTTATAATTCCTTTAAATTTCGCGACAGAATGACCTCCGGATATATATTGAAAACAGGGCTTTAAAAACCAGCTTAATCCTTAAAATAAAATTGCATAAAGTAACTAGTTTCGGCACCGAACAGCATCTTCCACGTCTGCTACTGTAGACTACAAGTACCATGTATCTTAAAAACTAAAAAAAACCTCTAAAGTATACTGTTTTATGTATTATTTTGTTTGGGAAATCCTGGGCTACAATATAATATATCAAACATTACAAGAAAAATGTCCAACAAATTTTGTGGCGTTAACATTTTTCATAAATTATTAAAAAACTGAAAAAGTTTAGGTACGTGCTCAATAAAATTGTTTAATTTTAATCCGATACATATTTTGAAAAATCCACTTTGTTATAAATGTTATGAGGATTTAAAAAATAAAGTTATATAAGAAGATAAATTCGTAAATAAATAAGTTATGGGTGAAAAAACACATTTCGCACATTTAGCTACAGCTAAGGATGATTAGCCAACGATAGCAAAGAATCTGAAAGATAATTTACATCAATATCACTACCTACTTCTCCAGAATCACCAACTAGCCCTTCAACATCACTTAAATCTTCTTATTATGCACCACGTATATAACTATTATTTTAATCACTAAAAACAACGATACACGTTATAAAACACATCAGTCATCGATGTAAGGTTAACCGAGTTGTTTACAAATACGCAAGTTATCTGTTAAAATACGTCATCTGCATAATATGATCAGGATAAAAATGAAAAGTGTCTAGAAACAGACATCTGAAGAAAGTTTAGAATCTGTCGAAAACAATGATACCAATCTCGATCCAGTACAATCTGATACAGTCAGTCCCAGAGTCTAGAGTAAAATGACACTTGAAAGTAACAAAAATATTATACAGGAATAATAAAAATCTATTAGTTTAATCAGACTTGAATTTGAATCTAGACTACCTAATTAAATTGTTGTGGGTTTAAACAAACACTGACAGCCTTTATCAGATGTTGACGTTATATGAAATTAACGCTATGAACTAGTAAAAATATTCTGTGGTATGAGAATTAAAATTTGGGAAATTGGTGTTAAGTATGGAGCAGTACATGTTTAACAAAAATATTACATTTTGTATCATTTTCGGAATGAGGGACCATGTTAAAGGTTCGTGTTTCGTCGTAATTTTGCCATATTGTTCATACATTACCACTAGTTCTGGTAGTACAGACACACCCATTGCTCTACTTGCCCATGAAGGTTCTACACATTAACATACAGCTGACAGTCGTGAGTATGTAAAGTAAAATAAACGTTTTAAATTTGACATAAATTTCCCAGAAAATGTCTCTGTATCTTTTGATGTCATATTCATGTCGCTCAGTGTGTTTTCAGTGTTTTTATAATACTGACGTCAACAAATTGTGACATTTTTGTATGAATAATCTGTTAAAATGTAGCGTTGTTGTAATTTGACACGTATTTGTTATATAAATTGCCATCTCACAAGCTTTATTTTCCACGAGTTTGACCTATGACTAGGAAGTATTATATGAACTCCTTCCTTTTTCTATGATACTATATTACTACATTAAACAAAAAAACTTTGAAGCACATTCTTCGCTTACGAGTAATGAAATTGTAAAGAACACATCAGCAATACTTTTTACTTAAATTGCATACAAGTAGTCTTCGCCACAACTAGAATTGGGAGTCGTCAACGATGTCTTCTGTCTTTTCGAAATGAAAATTTTTTTGCAACCACTATGTTGGTAGTAACTTCGTATTGTAATTGAAGTTTTTACTACGATTTCCTTTCGTGTCACACAGAGTAACGAAAAGAACATTATTTTCTATACCACCCAATTCTCCAATAAACTTATTGTTTGTTTTTGTATCACCAGATCAACAGTATTCAAAGCAAAAACATACTCGATCAAGTTTTTGCCCCATTGTAGGTCGCACGCGAAGAAGGGGATCTGAATATCATTTTGGTCCACCCCTCACCCTATAGGTGCACACACGCACATGCACACGCCACCGGCCAGCTGCCCGTAAATAAACGGGTAATCTCCCTCTCACACACACACATGCACACTCCCTATAGTCGTCTCTCTCGCACGTATTGTCACCCTACCATTGTGTCACCCAAGGTTTAATTAGGAGGTCTTTGGTGAGCCGCCTGAAAAATCTGGGTTATGTAAATTATGAGACAGGGCCAGGTGGAGGCCGGCGAAGGTGATAAAACGCTGGAGACGCTACTACCGGAGAGAATAGGAAACGAATATTTTTTTAGGGAAAGAATATTGTATGAATGTGTTTTATTTGGTTCCCCTTGTTTTTTGTATAGACCCTATCCTAAAACTTTGATAGAAGAATTTTAATTTTTATCAGAAGGGTATTTGTACTCAAAATGTAATTTTTTTTTAAATAGTAATGAAATAGATAATAGAGGTTATTGGATAGTGAAGGAGAGGTGATTATTTAAGTACAATACTAAAAAATAATTGTATTTCTAAGGTCATGTATTTTTCAAGACAAGATGTTGAAAAAGCCAAAGGATGATGAGGAAAAAATGAAAAAAGAAATTACCTTTGAAGCAAGAACCAGATTGTGAAAGACTATTAGGGTAGGTTTGGGTTGGATTAAGTTAACTTCCACCGAATAGTCTTACTAGCCAATGTTGAATGCTAAAATAGGCATAAAATAAAAATTCTGTAGGTAGTTTATGACAGGTTACTGAATAGAGATTGGGTGAATCTTTTTAGCTCCTTAAATTTTTGACCCACAAACACTGCGATACTAAATGGTTAATTAGATCAAAAATTGTAAATGTTGCTGACATATTAGACAAGTTGATATTTTCTAGGCCAATGTTTTAACTTTTCAGTCTTGATTAGACGATTAAATCATTGTTGCCTTTTGGATTCATTGTAGAATACATTAACGAATGCACCGTGCATATTGTTGAAGTCCTTTCCAATACACTTTGTGAGGCCAAGATAAAATCACATTATTATGTGATTTTTTTAAGTCCGTTAACTTGACAACACGAACATATTTACAGCTATGACAAAAGGCACATTCATGCAAATTAGATACATTCAAAAGCCGGAATTGCGTGTAATTGTAGACCTTTGTCAACATAAAGCGAGTCAACTAAATATCTCAAACGTGTTTTCAACATTGTAAAGCGTTTTATTTCGGTCGTGAGCGTGGCTTTGGCGAATCAAAACAAAATGCAAGAATAGCAAGTAAATCATCGCGACATGGTCGTGGTGTTAGC